TCTTACTATTCAACTATTCCAAAATAAATTCATAACCGTTTCGTCAAAACCGTTTTAAACTTACTACTAGTTGTACTATTCAGCTATTCCAAAATAAATTTATATAATTTGTGAGATTTTGTGTCAACAATTGTATTGGAATCAGGTTTATAATTTCTGATGTTCTGTTCCAGGGAATAGGGAAGGAAAGATTTTTGTGTGGGAACTGCAAAGCAGCCCCCCAGTTCTCATAGCAAAGTCAGTCATTTTCCTTTCCCTCATATTTTTGTTAAAATTACTTCATAGTATGTGTTTTTAATGTGTTTTGACCCTTATGTTCCCCATCAGGCTATCTCATGCTCAATCAAAGTCCCCAATTAGGCAGACTGCCATGTCCTTTGACGGAAGGTAACTACTTCATGTATGTTATCATATATATGTGAAAGAAGGGAATCACCAAACTCATCTTTGTTCTTTTGCTTGATGCAGCACCATTTTCAGCTGCTGCGAGGATGGGACAATATGGCGCTGGGATGCTGTAGCAATGGATTACTCCAAGTAGGTCTACTCATAGTAATATTTGAGGATTTTTTGCTGTCCAATTTGCTTTTGGTTGATACCAAGAACCTAAGGTCAAATCTTGTCTTTAGTTGATGTAGAAGTGAAAGTTGCATTTAAACTTTGATCTATGAATAGATAATTCTCATGTGCTACTCAAAGATCCCATGAATCAAAGACCGAAAATCATTCAAGATTCATTGATCTGAGCAAAATTCTAATTTTGCTTGTCAAACCTGACACTACTCCCTGGAAAAGCATAACAATTGAGGCATGAAACATTTTAATTATTGCTAATATTGAAGGGAAAAATTGTCATGCTTTGATACAAAATTTCTGGGATAACTCATATAGAACAGCTTTTCTTTGTGCCTGATTGATACGTATTCATGTGATAAAATTGTCACACAAGTATTCACGTGTATTCTATATACACAAAAGAATGTGATAGACTATTTCACTGGGATGATTTCTTCTTTTTCTTCTTTCTCGGCCACCGTTGAGATGCTTTCTTCAATCCCATGATTTTACCACAAAGAATAGGGCAGGAAACAAGACCCATCAAATTTGACTCTGCAATTGCACCAACAAACTCCGCATACTTTCAAGTTTCTGACTCAATTCTCTAATATTAGCAAGATGCTCTTCAGGAGATTCTGAACTGGATAAGTTGGTAATGAGGGCGGTACGCTCGGCTTGTGAATCCAAAACTGCCTACAGTTGATGCTAGAGTTGACCGTGGGGTTTCATGTGTAACGTACGATCTAGGAGATTGCCCAATACTGCCAGCACTACTGCCCCTACTGAGATTATCCTGGGAGAAGATCTTTTCAAAGCCCTCTGTTCCTGAAATCACCAATTTTTAGTTATTGAGTTCCAAGCAAAGTAAAGAATAAGAAGAAGGTGAAGAAGTGGGCTACGCAGTGAAAAATGCAAAAGCCAGGAAAATAAACATATCATTTGCAATGACTAACAGTTCCTAGTAATGGTTGCCATATTATCATTTCCTCAGGCAAGGAAGCAAACAAATGGCAGTTAATATCATTAATCACATTTTAATTGAATGCATTTGGATAGCCTTGATTTAGTCCAAATATACTGAAGTCGTCTCTATTAGAACGTCTTTAAACCGAGCATACTTGGGACAGATAAATAAAGAAAAACATGACAAATAATCTTTCTACCAAGATAATTAATAACAAATAGTAAATACTTGGGACAGATTCTTTTACCGGTTGCTTGACAGAGAATCTCAAGTTTTCTATCACCCAGTTGGCCATTTCATCCTCAATATTGTTTTCTGATATCACCAGAAGAACTTCAAGATTTACTCCACTAGATGTCTCAAAACCTTCTTTGAATCCATTTTCAGAATGGACAGCTTTAAGAAGGCCTTTATGGACCTGAGGCTTCAGGGTTTGCAATCCTTCCACACCAACCTATAAGCATTTCACGTTAGAATCAAAAGAAAACAAGCCAGCCACATAAACCAGTTAATTCACATAAAAAGACTTGAACTGCTAGATAAAAGGCAACTCTTTCTTATGCTGACATCAAATACAACTGATCTAAATAAATAGCTCAGAAGGGATACAGCACCAGCCAATCAGCCATGCGCCTACTAATAGCCCTAGATGCCCTCCAAGGCCATTATATATCCCTTCTAAGAATCTTAATTAAATTCAACAAAGGATTTAAAAGCAGCTAAGGCTAGGCTTTTATAACCTAGACTTGAAAATGCTGTTCAAAAAACTACAAAGGAGAAAAAAATTCTTACCGTGACCAATTCAACAGGATATTTCTGCACTTCATCTGATTTCCCTTTACCCTTTAACATATGCTTTGGACTGCTTGTTGCTTTTACTCGCAAGGTCTGGAATGTCGTGTGCCAACATCTCTCCTCTCTAGTTACGTCTTCTTGATTGTCAAACCACCATCTGTCAGCCGTTCCTTGCACACCTTCAAGAGCAAATAACCAGTCCTTTAACTCTATTGACACATCAACATCATCTGGCATCCCTAGGTGCAAGAAACCACTATCTTTCTCACCCTCCAAATTTCCACCTGGAAGTAAATGTAAGACAGGTGAAGCTTAAGTTAAATAGTAAAAATGAAAAGAAAAGCTTAACTGCATGAACATATAGAAGAGCAACCAGTTAAGGAAAATTTCATATTAGTGCTAGCTTTATACCCTTCGCTAAATCATCGACGAGAGCAGATGGCTTCAAAAGTTTAGCCAGTGGCCCAGCTGATATATTTTCCAACCCTTTGGAGAGTTCCTCACCAGGACCACCATCAGGCCCAAGTATTCCAAATCGATGCAGCAAAGCCTCCATATAATTCATTCCTCCACCTAAGCGAACACCTGAAATACTAGCTGACACCATTAAACTATGACACTCTTTGTCCTGTTCGTTGAAGGGAATGACATGTACAATGCTTATGTCAAGAAAAGGAATCACAAAAGCTTTTCCATTTGATTGATGCTTCTTTTTGTTATCAACCCAAAAGACAGCTTTAAGGGGAGGATATCCATTCAAAGTGACAAGAGAACCATTTTCAACTGAATCTAACATTGTTCGATTCTCATTTACCAGGTTTCTCCCATTGTCTAAACAGTCCACCTCAATCCTCTCCCAAAACAAAGTGGATGAAACAGCAATAGAACCGCCAAGAGTTCTATGAGTAACTTTAATGAACAGATCTATCCCAATAAACTGAACCAGAGGCATTTCATGGATATTGAAGGAGGAGGATGATTCCAGAAATCTAAGCTGGAGATCGTTGACCGTTAAACTTACAGCAGTATCACTAGGAACCTTCCCCATCAAACTTTGACTGAGAGAGTCATTTTTATCCATCTCAGGTCTTTTACTCTTTCCAACTATGGCAATCTTTTCACTAACCTTACCAAAGTATGTATAGAGATCCAAGACAAAAAATAACTGCTCAACAGAACTATTGGATAAATATTGGTGACAAGCAACCCCTACTCTGACAACACCGCCAGGAGGAGGAACAATTCTTAAAGGATTCCCATCAGCAGATACCATAGCTACCTCAACAGAAGCATCTTCAACCTCGACACACCTCCACAAGCCTGAAGTACAGCCAGCATAACTCTGAAGTCCAGTTAAGCTAGCAGATGTTTCCAAATACAAACTAAGTTGTGATGCTCCAGCTGTCCATTTCTTCTGGCTAGCGTCAAATTGGTTGACCCTCCCAGAGACAGAAGCAAGCAGGATCTTTCTCCAGGTTCAATAGCTTGAGTTTTAGTGAAGGTGACTCAGAGAAAAACAATTTTTCAATATGAAGTCTAGCTCCAGCAAAGGACTTTTCAACAGTAAGGTTCCTTTTGCTACTAGGATTATCCAGTTTAGTTGTGTCTAGAGGAACACTAATGTCCAAGTCCGAGAGTAAATACAAGGGAATTAACTGAAGAATCAGGTAAAACGGTGCCAGGATTTACAACTATTCCATCAGCTAAGAAAGAGGATATCCTTAAACAAGATTGTTCCTGAAGATGAATCTGAACAAAAAATGGAGAATGAGAATAGGAATAAAAAAGTAACATAATTTGAGAAAGAAGTAAGCATTCACCAAAACAGCATACCATAAGTGGCTGGCATTCAATCACTGTTTGTGATGCAAAGGAAGTGGGAATGGAGAGGGCTTCACTTGAAGAGAGTGAATGCATATTAAAGGAACACCCATAATTAGTTGCCACTTCTGCTCACCTAGTGGATATATTGGAGGGCAGAAATTCTTACCTGTTCAAACACAAAAAGAAGAATGGAGCATGATTAGCTAACTAGACTTATGAGCATGATTAACCTTTAACATGAAAGCTTAAAGGAGGGGGAAAAAAAAAACCTTTTAACATATCATAAATAATTTAACATACCAAAATCAGGAATATTCACACAAGAATCCGTGACAGCTTCCATGGATGGTTGTACCAAAGTACACGGAGGGCGTGAGAAGGTATCCCTGCAGTACAAATATTTAAAACAAAATTACACCATAACATACTAAAGTTGAGTTGCCTGTGTGTCTGCAACAAACAATAAAATGAAAAGCTATAAGTGCACAACACAAACAAGCTACTTTGTAACAAAAGTAAACTACTTGATCACCAGCTAATTCTATCATAATGAATGACAAGAAATACCGTGTGCCTAAATGTTTAAACCTAGTCTTGTATCCAATAAATAGTAATTAATCTCAACCACACTTTAAATCCCCGATAAAGTTTACAAAATTGTGTATATAAACCTAGATCCTTGGTATGTGAAAAACAATGAAGATTACCTTAAAAAGAACCCACCAATCATAACCTTAGACATGAAACTGGTAATTTCTCCATCAGAGACACTAGCCTGCAGGAAGTTTTAAAAAATAGCATGAAGATTCTAATTAGCATCATAACACAAATGCAAGAAAATTTTAGAAAAAGACATATTGAAAGATCCAAAGCCACAACTATTCTTGACCAGGAATGCAAGATATTATCATTAACAAGTTGTATATCAGACATTGAGGGAAAATACCCGTGAAAAACAGAGTGACTGCATCAAAAGTTCAAGCTGGAATTCTGCAAGAAGTTGAAACTCTCTGAAATGTTCTTATTCTTAATGAAAAGGATGTGATATAAGATGTTACATTAGAATTGCTTTAATCATAAAACTACTACTTCAATTACATATCTGA